AAGGCTTTCATCTTCTTACCCAACGGCACTTCAGTAAAACTCTCATCAAAGACACTGCAGCAGTTCGGAAAGATATTTCCTTGTTATCTTATTGAGGGTGACTAGATTTGTACAGTAAGTTTGTTAACTATTCCCACATCTCCAGAATTACTTTGTACAATGTTCTGTACAATTATACAAATAGCATTCTCATGGGCTATATTACATTGCATATCCGGTTAATAACCCATATACTTGTCTTTTAAATCAAAGACTCAACATACAGAATTTACAATTGCTTTTCTGGTGGATCAGGCCAGCATGCCTGCAGCAGATAAGATCACTGTTGCTAATAGATAACAATTAACTTATAAGCAATAACAACAAAGGCAAAACAGATTCTATCAGCCTGGAAAAGTTTGCTAAATGACAACAACACATAGAGCTGAAATCAATGAGGCACATTCTAAAATAATAAACCATGGAAACATGCATCAGTTGATATTTATGACAATTGTTCTACGACTACTTTCCCACAAGTTGTAGCTATACCAATAATTTCCCAGTGACTTCTTTTTACACAGATGATCCAATTAGACACTTGCAAACTACCTATGTGAACTATCAGCCAAGTTGAAAACTTGCTTTACAAAATTTCATGTGGAAAGCGAATTGCATATATGTGTACAGGATTTAACATTATTGTACTTAGGGGTACAGTTTTAGCCCTGAGTGATTGTAACATCTTTGGTGGTCATAAGGAGCTTGGACATTGAAAATATAGATTGTTCTGAATACATCCCTACTCATTAAAATGGTTCCAATAATAGGTAAGCATGAGTTGTACATCATGGGACTTTCCATTGGGTACTCATCTTTCTTCATCTCCATCTTATCATGGGACAAATATGGAACTACATAAAGTACTTCCATCTGATCAGATCTTCTAAATTTCCATGGGATGGTTGATATGCCTCAAAGATCAGCAAATGTTGGGTGCAAGTATGATGTGGTGTTTGGCGCAAATCCAATCTAGCTCTGTGAAATGGTTCAACCCTACAATCTACATATATTTGATCTCAGATCTTTATTTACAATGAAGATAAAATTAATAATTAAAGTATATAATTATCATTACAAGCTAGCTACTGAAATTTGCTGTGAAGAATAAATTTCAAATCTGCATTGTCTGCCCAAATCATTTTAATGGTACAAAAGTTCACATTTAGCATCTCTGCTGCAGTTCTATATTCTCACTGAACTGATTACTGTTTTCAGTGGAATTCAGTATGATCGTTACTACAATAAGATTTTTTTTAAAAAATGAGTCATATCACAGCGAGCACTTTATAATTCAGAGAGTACAAGGGAATGGGATTTGACTAGATAGCACCAGATGAAAAGTTATAGATTCATGAAGTCATACAGCTATACTGCATGGAAACTGACCCTTCAGTCCAACTCATCCATGCTGACCAGATATCATAAATAAATCTAATCCCATTTACCAGCATTTCACCCATATCCCTCTAAAACCGTCCTATTCATATACCCATCTAGATGCCTTTTAAATGGTGTAATTGTACCAGCCTGCTCCACTTCATCTGCCAACTCATTTCATACACCACTACGTGAAAAAGTTTCCTCTTAGGTCCCTTTTAAATCTTTCCCCTCTCACCTTAAACCTATGCCCTCCAGTTTTAGACTCCCCCACCCCAGGGAATCAACCTCAGCTATTCACTCTATACATATCCCCAATGATTTTATAAACCTCTATAAGGTCACCCTTCAGTCTCTGACAATCCAGGGAAAATAGCCTCAGCCTATTCAGCGTCTCCCTATAGCTCAAACCCTCCAACCCTGGCAACATGCTTGTAAATCTTTTCTGAACCACTTCAAGTTTCACAAGATCCTTCCAATAAGAGGGAGACCAGAATTGAAAATAGTTTACCAAAAGTGGCCTCACCATTGTCCTGTACATCCGCAACATGACCTCCCAACTCCTATACTCAATGCACTGACTATTAAGGCAAGTATACTAAGCACCTCCTTCACTATCCTGTCTACCTGCGACTCCATTTTCAAGGAACTATGAACCAGCACTCCAAGGTCTCTTTGTTCAGCAACTCGCCCCAGCACCATACCATTAAGTGTATAAGTCCTGCCCTGATTTGGCTTTCCAAAATGCAGCACCTCACATTTATCTAAGCTTTTTTTTTGCATTCATTCAATGGGTCCTGGGCATTGCTGGCAGGGCAGGATGTTTTGCCTATCCCAAGAGCAGTTCAGAGTCAATCACAATGTTGTGAGTCTGTAGGCACATTTAGGCCAAACTGGCTAATTAGGGCAGATTTCCTCCTCTAGAGAACATGAGTGAACAAGATGGGTTGTTATGAAATAAATGATAACTTAATAGCTACAATTTGCAATGCTAGTCTTCAGTTCTGGCTTTATTAATTAAATTTAACTTCCAGCTACCATTGTGGTATTTTGACTCTTTCCCCCCTGAGAATTAGCCCAGATTTTAGGATTATTAGCCCAGTGACATTACCACCACTCCGTTATGTCTCCTTGTATATAGGCAATGCACTGAATGGCCTTTCTTTGATCTCCAGTTTCTATAGTAAAACATTGGCAACCAAATGAATGCAATTAACCCATGCTTAAAACTGCAGTTTTGTGATTATTTTCAACAGAAATGAATTATTTTCAACAGAAAAGACATTTTTATAGGATCACAAAATGCTCCTAGATCCTGGAATTTTCTCCAACTCATGTTACAAATGGAGTGCTGCTATTCACATATGCAGGGGGAGGTTCAGGGTATGGTGAGTAAAGAAATCGGGTCCTGCACTGCTGAAACATACAGGCCAGAAGGTTTGGTTAACAGGTGGTACTTTCTAAGTTTATTGTTAAACACACTGTCATTAGCTGCTGGTGTTCCAACTACTATCACCATAGCTCTACACACAGGATTAAAACATTTCATTTAGAACATGGTTACAGTCTCTTAAGTCTGTTCTGATTGGCAATGTATGGCAGCAGGCCATTTGTCTTGTTCATTGATGCTCCATATTCTTTGAGTGCAGTAAATGAGGAGTTAAAACAAGCACCATGTTTTAGTTCATATATCATTTTAGTGGTCAGTTTTCAAAGGAACCACTCAGATATCAGTTAAATTATTTAAGAAAGACAAAAAAAATTGCATTCATAAAGTTAATTTCAACTTCAAAACATTCCAAACTGCATTACAGTCAATTAAATACTTATGATAATGGTCACTGTTATAGTGTCAAAGTGCAGCAGCCAATTGGCACAGCAAGTTCTCATAAATATCAATGTGTTAATAATATGAAAATCTATTTTTGTCCTTTTCGTTATAGGATAGTAAAGTCATAGTAGTCCTACTGGACAATAGAACACACTTTCATTAGAGAGTGATGACAGATGGTGATTTACCCTGAGGGTCACCATACCCAGACAAGGGGAGAGATTGAGAAGCAGAGGTATTTCAGAGTAACGTCTGCCGATTACAAGCACTGAATCTATGCTGTTGGCATCGCTCTGCATCACAAATCAGCCATTTAGCCAACTGAGCTAACTGCATTAGGTAAGACCCCTGGGATAATTCCCCTGCTCTGCTAGAGAATAGTGGCAGAGGATCTTTAATATCCATCTTAAAGTGTTGTTGAGGTTTAATGCCTTTTCCAAATTGTGGCCCTTCCAACAGTGTAGTATCCTTCAGTACTTCACTGTAGTACCAGCTTAGATTTTTGAGTTCAAATTTCTGGAGTGGGACATGAACTCAGAACCTCCTGATTCTGATACAAAAACATATTAGCACATTGGATACACGCTTACAGATGAATAACTGCAGTCACATGCAATTTAGAAATATGTCTCAAGAGGAAGCAGCAGTGGAGAATTTTCCAAGAGTCTGCAAATTATTCACAAATACTTTGTGCAGATTGCTTCTGCAGTGAAGACTGAATAGAGAAACAGATGGGTTTATTCTCCAAGATAAAGCAATATGCCATTGAAAGACTGGAATGCTTAGAACCATGTGTGTGGTCCAATGACTGATGGAATAACCAAGCAAAGAGTTAGGAATTTTTGGTTGTTTAGAGGCTTGGAACTTGAAGATTGGAAATAGATAAGTGTCAGTAATAGGAAATATTTATCCATCAATTAGCTACATGGACCAGATGCATGACTTGAAAAAGTAATCACATTAGCAGGACTCTGGGGAAAAGCTCTTTGCAGCTACTATGCTAAGGCACTCAGAATTACGTTGCTGCTGTTAACTCCTGATAGTCAATCTTTGCCCAGGTGGCAGCATACCATCCTATACAGCTCAAAAATAATTATTGCTATATCCTCTAAAGATAACACTTTACAATCATATTTTATCCTTTCCAAAGTTGGCCTCATCCAAATTAGCAAGTGTAGATCTCTAGTAAAAGTTCCACTTTCAAAACTGTCCAGCCCACAGTTTGCATTACCAGGATGCATGGCCATGTTATGCATGACCGGATTTTCCGTTTGGTTTTCCAAATTCCAATGATTGCTCAGTGGGAGCTCTCATCTCAAGAGCCAGGAGGGTGTGGTGCAAGTACCCTCCAGCCATTTAATCATCTAATGGAAGGTGACATTTCAGTGCAGCCCTGAAGGAGCTGCTTAATCTAAAAACCAGCCAACTTGCCCAGATGGGTGTGGATATACTGTTATCAGAAGAAGAACAGAGGAACTCTTCCAATGTCCGGTTCTCGGTTATCATTGCTAGAACAGTCAAACTGGTCAAAAATAGAATATTACAGCAGAGGTACTATATAGCCCATCAAGCTATGAGTGCAGAGATAGTAGGAACTGCAGGTGCTGGAGAATCTGAGATAATAAGGTGTAGAGCTGGATGAACCCAGCAGGCCAAGCAGCATCAGAGGAGCAGGAAAGCTGATGTTTCAGGCCTAGACCTTTCTTCAGAAAATATGGCAGATGTTGGAAATCTAAAATAAAACCTGAAAATGCTTGGTAAGTTCATGAGGTCCAGTATCTGCCAAGAGAGAAACAGTGAACATTCAGGTCAATGACATTTGTGAATTGGATCTATTGCTTCCATGAAAATAAACTGCAGAGATATTGGGAAAGTACCAGAGAGTGAGACAAAGTGGATTGGTCTCAAAACAAAGTGCACACATAGCTTAAGGAGCATCAGAGGATCAGGAATGCCGACATTTCGGGCCTAGACCCTTCTTCAGAAAATTTTCTTTCTTTGTGTTTATCTATTTTGTTTTAAAGACTATGATTGATTGTTTCCATCCTCTCTTAGGCAGGGTATTCCAAATCATAACCATTCATTGTACTTGTTACCAATCCCAGAGTCATCAAATTGTTACAGTGCAGGGGGAGATCATTTTGCCCAATGCGTCTGTGCCAGCTCTCCAAATGAACATTTTAATTTAGCGTTATTTTCCTGCGTGTTCCCTATAACACTGCACATTGTTTCTATTCAAATAATCATTTAGTACCCTCTTAAATGCCTCAATTAAACCTGCCTCCACACATACATCCAAACAATCTGTACCCTTTGGAATCAACTGTTCAACCATTGGAATCAGTTTTTAGTTACATATTCTAGCAGGACCTTTCATTATTTTAAACAGTCCTACATGATCTTGTCAACCTTTTCTGCTGCTTGCAGGGAGCAATTTGTTGCATTTACCTTACCCTATCATTGGCAAGTCAGCCTTCATGCATGCAGACCCTAGGTTTTCGAATTCCTTTTCCAAACCTCTTTACCTCTGTCTTTTTGAAAATCCAGACTAACACTCTGGTATTGTACAACGGAGTACTGTTAGAGTTGCCAGCAATTCAGATGAATTTGTTAAACAGGTGCCCTTGTCTTCTCCTTAAGATGGGTGTTAAAAATTCAATGGCATTTTTTTAAAGAAGGGGAAGGTGCACTAGGAAATGCAAAAAAGTTGCTATAGAAATGCAATTTTTCTTTTAATTAATTTATTTACATAGAATTTTGCAAATTTCATCACTTGTGTAATAATCTTTTGTGATCATTACGACTATGAACCTTGCCAATATTTTGTAATGTTTGCAATTTCTGACATGTTGTCAACAGATTTATCTAACACTGCTGGTAAACAAAATAGCTGAAGCAGAAGATAAAGACCAGTCGGTCCTTTTGGAATGCTATCAAGGGAGGGAAGTGGAATATATGTCTGGTGGTGGCATCTGACTGGAGGTGGCAGAAATAGAGGCTTATGATCATAAGGCTCCATCTCCAACTATCCACTCACTCTT